AGACCATGCCTGACAGCCTGGGTGGATTTTATGTGCCTCTCCCTATTATTTTTCCCTGTGCTGGCTGCTGTCTTATTTTCCAATGTGCAGTTGTTCAGGAAGCGGCACAAAGCTCAAGCGATGCAGTGGTTGCCATGGAGAGAAGCTCGAGTTTGCACTTTATTCATTTTATTTATTTCTGAATGGCAGCCTGGTGCAGTACGTAAAATCTGCATAGCTTGCTAGTACACTGGATGCCACAAACCTGGGGCTGTATTTAAGGATAATCTGTATTTGGAAAAGCACAGTAAAAAGCTGAACCTCATTTACGCTGATTTCATTTCTTATTTGGGATTGGATTTCCCTGGAGACTTGTGTCGGAAATGTCCACTGAAGTAGAATTAACACTTACCTCAATTACATAACATTTTATATCCGTGTTCTAAAATAGGCAATTTCAATAAGACTTTTGGGAGCAAGTGTAGCATGGTCTTTCATTCTTTTTTATTTACATGGCAACTAGAATCACACAGAACCCTTCCTGCCTCCATGAAAAGGACATAATTTGCAGAGTAACATTTACAATTAATTAGCACTGCAAGATGCTACTAAAATTTATCGTTCAGCATTACAGTAAATCTTATCATGCTGAAGTGACACAGGAGAAACATAACATTCTTTTAGACTCACTCCATCTAATGATGCCAAAGCAGTGCACAATTGCTAATTACAAATCATGTATAGGATAAAGAATCTCTTTGTCCCTCTTTCACCCCCTCCCCCCAAGTTTTGAAGCTTTTACAATAGTCATTGTTTGGAACTAAATACTACAGGAAGATCCAGTCTGTATTTGTACCACTGTCATTAAAAAAAGTGGATAGAAAGATAAAGTAATTTTTAAAAAAATTATAGACTGTGAGTGAGCTGAGGATGTGGACATGGGAGGCAAGCCTTGACTGCCTCGATATTATAATTTTTACCTTATATAGAAAATGAGTGTAACTTTTCTATATCTATTCCTTCATAAAAATAAGTTAACTTATTTACAGAAATACAGTATAGTGGGTGTAATTACAGATCTTAAAACTCTGCTTGTGTCGTTTGTCAGACTCAAGGACTGTATCTTATCCAGTGCTGTGTGCATTCCCTGCTGCCTGGGGAAACAGAATGCAAACCAGCCACAGAAACTCTGCAGGATGAGCACTATGTCTTTATTCTAATTTCCCTCCCCTCATCCCCCATTATATACTGCCAAGTTCCTTTGACAGTGCTATCTTTTAATTGGTTTGGCAGGTATTATACAGTTGGTCATATGCACAGATGATTAAATAAGCCAGTTAATATATGTATTTAAATTCACATCTAAGGAACTATATTAAATTTTGTCCTTCTCTATGGGATGAAATAGAGGGAAAATCAAAGGATAAAATAGTAGGAAAAGATCCTTACTTATAAAGGGATGGAAATGAATAGATTGGTTCTGATTGGTGACTCTGTACTATGAGAGTTATTTAACGTCCACACACTTGAACTGAATTACAGAACTAATTTCCAAGTAATACCTTTCATTAGCAGAATGTATGCATTTTCTTTATGTCAAAGAAGTAATATCAAGCCTTCATCTTTACCTAAGAAGGTCATGTGGCCTGTTGTCCTTGCATGGGAGAGCAGGCCAATAACTCAACACTAGAAGAGTTAACATTGAACTTTCCATAAATTTGCATAGGAGTCTTACAGGACTGGAGTAAGCATATATCAGAGAAAAGCCCCTGAATGAGTTAGTCAACAAAAGGGTAGTTGTAATCATATTGGAGACTGCAAATGGAAAGAAACCCACTTAATGCACACAAATGATTTACTATACTGTGTGCCACTTGGTATGACCTAGATTTTAGAAATTAGATACAAGATTCAGGAAACCTTAACTATGGACATCAGTAAAATCAGCTGCTAAGAGAGGTCAGGAAATTATCCAGCATCTTCTGTTTTTCACTGGTAGCCTCTTTGTTGGTGAGAAAATTCACCTTCTGGTAATATGATTTTTGAAACATTACTGCTGGGAAACTAGGCTTCTGAATCCTTCCTGAGCTCTACTACCCTCTAAAAATCACAGGTCAGGCAGCTGATTTCTGTTCAAATTTCCACAAGAGCCTGATCTTTCAGCGACACTCATGGTAACACACATTGTCAGCATGGGGTGCAGCACAAAGACCTCTCATGCCACAGGTGGGAATCCTAACCCTCAGCAGCTCAGAGCTGCATCACATGCTCTTCCTATTCTTACTCTGAATCCCCCAAGCCACATCGTTCCCTGATCGCCTCCCTCTCTGGAGGCAGGCACAGAGAACTGGAAGGTGATACCCACTGAGCGTGGAACAGAGCTGGTGGATCTCCTGCCAGGGACTGCCACTGGAGAGCCTGTCCTTACCTTTTGTGGTATGCAAGATATTGACGGTAAAAACCACACCCCATGAAACAGCTCTTGCTTCAGTTTTCATTGTTTACTTTAACCTTTCAGAAGCCGAGCCCAACATTTGATTTCTCTCTGCTATGCTTACAGAGCCCAGCAGCGCGCAACCAACTGCAAAACACAGTGAACTGGTTGAAATTGCAAACAGGAGATTTCTAGGCTTTCCCTGTACAAGTTGCTATAGCAGGTGACATAGCTTAAAAAATCATCAGTATACTTGAACAGACCTATTTTTAAGTTGATTTTTTCCCCCCTTTATCCCTAGTAGCAGAGTGGCATCCACCCGGACCTTCAGAAATAGTCTGTCTTGATGAAGCTCGTGCTGTTACAGACCAGCAACTTGAAAAGGGTTAAATACATTAGCCACTCCACTCAAGAAATGAACAGGAGTGAAAAATGACACTCCTTAGAGACTAATCTGTCCTCTGGGCAAAACATTCGTATCGTTCATTACGAAAAACAGAGTATGCTTCTTAGAGGATGACAGACAGAAAAAAATCCCGAATATCAATATTTATTTGCTAAACTAACCTGAGTTCTTTGAAAGGGTGACCAAGCTGATAGATTGCAATCTATCTGGATTTCACCCAGGCATTTGATAAGCTGTCACATCAGAAACTAGTGGGGAAATGATAAGACAGGAACAAGTAATACATTGACATTGATTAAAAGCTGTCTGTCATCCCAAACCAGAAACTGTTAAGTAATTAAGTAACTAGTTAAAAGGTGGAGGGGCAGAGGTCTTGACACTGGCATGTCTCAACATCTGGGTTCATCCTGAGATTCTTTTACTATATTTTACAAATGATCTCTTAGTATTTATTTCAAAGGAATAAAATAAAGTAGCTGAAGGAGGAGGACTTGTAACTTTTATGATTGCTACTGCAATGCAGAAAAGTATCTAATTCCACATATGTATATATTTTCTTCATGGATTTTTATTTAATAGCATTATTCTTCCTTACAAAGACATTAGAAAAAGTCAGCAAAAAATAAAAAATAGATTATAGAAATTTATTTCTATGACTTGAGATCTGGACATGATGCACAAAACACTCAGGAGGACAAACCGTAAATTCTGTTTCATGGGAGTAAATGGAAAACCCATATACTGAGTTTTTTATATGGGGAAAACCCATGTACACACAAATAGATTTGTTTCCTGGTCCCTTCTCAAAGGCATCCTAAACTGAAGCCCAAGTAGTGGGGAATCTCTGGCATTTCTGGAGAACCAGCTGAAATTCGAAGTGTAGCACAAATGCAAATAACAAAAATTCAGGAAAAACTTGGGATTTGTTCCAGTTTGAAACAGAAAGAAATTAAGTAAAGAAGCATGAGACTCCTCTAACTAAAGGACATGATTCTACAAAATCTCTCACTTTTCTCTCTTTGTATATGATTCTCCATTTAATTCTGTGCAATTGCAACTTTTCAGTTTTAAGAGATATTCATAATTCAGGATCAGATCCTGTATGACCTGTCAGTTTTTTAATAACATATCTTCAATTTACATACAGACTTCAAGTAAAATGGGAAATATAAAAAGATTAAAGTGTTCATGACAGTTTAAAGCAAAGAAGTGCACTTGCCTAAAACAAACATATTCACTTTTCCCTATCTTATTATTAATAATACATGTATAAAGCATATTAAGAACTACAAAACACAAACGTCACACTTCTTTCTCTACTGCAGTGTTCAAAGTAACTGATAGCTCATGAATAGCAGTTTCAAAAGCTGTATGAGGATACACTTCCCAATACTTAAGCAGTACAAAGAACTTTAATCTCAAGCTGATGGGTTTACAGTGGTATTATTTAAACATGAAAGTCTAATCAATATCCTACAAAAGCCATGTACAATGTATTTTTTAATATACCTTTGTGCAACTGAAAAGACATTGGACCTGAAAATTATATATTTCATGTTTGTGATATTGAAATTTTCAAATTGGGCCTAGCTCAATATACAGAAGTCATTAGATTATGAAAAATCTGATTTTTTTCCCCTGCCTTACTTTTTCAACCATAGAATACAAAATGATTCTCTACCAGAGTCATATGGAGGTACTGCAATCTAAACATATTATCAGCTGTGACAGAAATGCTATTTCTGTTGAATAACAAAGGAATGCTGTGACAACCCTGTCAACTTTTGGCAGGTAATGGTACCGATTCTATTCCTTGGGTGTTTTGCACTACTGTGGTTCAGCGTGCCTTTTCTGACTGGCAGCAGGGCGGAAGGAGAGAGGCAGCTCTTTCTTGTGGCCATGTATGTAGTGGGTTGGCTTTTGGATTTTTTAGGCCTTCCTTAGCAAGAGCAGTCAGAAATCTAAGGAAGTATTCCATATCATCCTTTAGCGTAACACAACATATAAATAAGGCGGAGATAAGAGAGCTCGCTCTCTTCTCTCTTCCAGTGGCTGAAGACAACAGGTCTCTCCACAGAAGGTCTTTGCTTGTATAGGCCAAGGCCTGCCTGTGTAGAACTGCCGTTATCTTCAGCCCCTCTGGGAGGCGTGGGGGAGTTGGTTGGTGCTCCACACAGTTCTGCTGTCTCGTTCAGGGAAGTATTTAATTCGGTTTTTGTATTTATTCACTAGCTTCCTATTAATGGGTATATTTGGAGGATATTTGTTTTTGGGGTTTTTTTATCCCTGTTTCCCCCCTCTCTTTTCCTTTTTTCCCCCCAGGAGCTCCCTATCGTGTGTGCAATTTATTCAAATTATACATATAATTGTAAATATATGTGAATATATATTTTTGATACAATTCCGTTTCGTTTGGGCTTCTTTCGGTTTTTCTGTGGTTTGTTTGTTTTTTCCCTTGCTTGAGAGAGCGGGAGGGGGGAGGAGACAGCTTGGACTCAGCAAGAGAGCCAGACCAAACTTACACAATGTAGTACCCTCATCATCGGTTTGTGACAGTCCTGACTGTTAGCCAAGCTTTTGCATGTACGTGACCCTAAATTCCCTCAACTGGTACATCAAACTCAGTGTAGTTACAATGACCTATATTTAATGCAGAGTTTCTCCAAGAAAGCAGTACCTTGCATCATCCCCGAAACATGACAGTGCTTCTCAGTGGGAACAACTTCAAACAATGAAGAAAGAATAACTGCAACTTTTGAAAAATCCAGGTAGTAGCAGAAACAAAGTAGATTATTTTAGGCCTGATTGTTCTGTATGTACTTATCAAAGTGTACAAACAAGTAGCTTGTAAGTAGTATCAGTATGAAACAGATCTGAGTTATTTAGCTTGATTTTTGGTGCAGAAAGCTGAGTGGAGTTGACCAAGTCAATATAAGGATTCATCTCAAATTATTACAAAAGTTCTTTCAGAGAAATTACTCTTTTGACTTTTCACTTGGTTGCTTCACCTTCCTGTACAAAGTGTACTAGGAGTCTCATTGCTAATGGAAGGCTTTATGAAAGACAATGAAAAGTAAAAAAGTATAAAAAAGCCTAAGCAACTAATAAATTTCAGGTACTTTTATCTTAAATAATGTGCATCTGTTTTACAAAAAGGTGGATGAATCATTTTAGTACCAGGGCTCTTTCAGTGTTTTAAATATGTGACTCAAAACTTCCAGAACCATCTCTAATCCCATATTACTTGAAGACTTTCAAATTCCTAGGTGAAAGCATACAAGCATACATTTTTTATAATGTAGATAACAAGGTTTTTGAAGATTCTTTATGAAAGAGATTATCACATAGGACTGACATTTGATGTGAACAAGTTTCTAATTTGATGGGAAAAGGAAAAAGCATCTTCAAAAACAGCTAAGTTAACGACAAGGTAAAACTGTTGTTCTTGAATATTTCTCAAAGCACCAGAGTTTATCATTGTGTGCATGTATTTATATATCTTTGGTGTTTTTCACTATAATATTTCAGTACTAATACAACATCTACTCTGGGTGGATGTTTCAGAACAAGGACCTATATCTACATTGATACTTTTAATGCATTTTAAATACCCCATGTGCTTCCAAAACTCTTTTGAGAATCTTGCTTGAGATCCTGGCCTAAAACATTATTGCCTCACCCCCATCTGAATTCTCTATGTGATGAGCAGTACATGAATATTTGTAGTGAAATCTTGTAAATTTAATAAAATGTTACAGGTTACGGTTTAAACAACAGTTCTTCATACTTAAGATGCTTCCTTAACACTCTTTGCTGCTGTTCTCACCAGTGCCTCAATAATGTAAGTACATTTGTTTAACATGAACTTGGGAGTTCACTGAGTCTCATTTAAAACCTAGAAACATTTATGGGACTATTTTCATTCATTTCAGCTTTCTTGGGATCAGACCTGTAGAATTTAGCCATATAGTGATGCTGCTTCTAGAAATAATCCCTTATCAGCCCATCTGGAACAGTACTCAAACGCAGAATAAGATAATATCTGTATCTGAAATATTCAATTCCAAAGAGACTTTGAATCCAAGTGGAAACAGCTGCATAGCCAGAAACATCCAAGTATACTGACTAAATACTAATCGTGTACTGGAAGCGTACTGTTTTCAGTGAGAATAACATGAATGCAATTCATTAATATTCATGATTACCACATGTATTATTAGTATAATTAACCTCATTCATATATCCACAGGCATGGATTTGGATAGGTGGACTACCCATTCTTATGGTGAGTGCAAAATCAGCTGGACAGCTGGGTTTGCAGTGTTGTGATGACTGATAAAAACCTTGGCCACTGGCTGGATACTAGTGGCATCTCCACAGATAAAACTGGGGTCAGTTGTTTAACACCATTAATGTCTGGAGGAGGTGATGGAGTCCATCATCAGCAACAGTATCAGTTTAGGGGGAAAGGTCAGCAAGACAGCTGTTAGTACTGCTATTCAGCAGAACCTGACTGGCTAGAGAAAGTGGCTGATAATAAACTCGTGGTGTGCAAGACAAATGCCAAGTCCTGTCTCTGGCATATAATAGCCTCTTGCCTCAGTTGAGCTGGTGATCACTTGATTCCAAGGCAGCTTTGCAGAAAAGGAGTTGGGATTCCTGGTGGATAACAAGGTGAATGTGACTTAATGGGGCACCCTTGAAGGCTGTCAAATATTGGACAAAGTTTCCTAGAAAGGCTGCAGATATCTCTGTCCTTGGAGATGTTCAAAATTGACTCTACAGGGCCTTGAGAAACTCCAGGTCAGCATTGCTTTGACTGAGACCTGGACCAGATGTTCTGCAGAGCTCCCTTACAATTTGTATTATTTTGTGATTCTAGATTTTAGCAATCTCTTTATAAAAAGAAGGAAGACTACACATTTACACTGATTGCAAAAGTATTAGCTCTCTTGCACATTACATCAACCTATCTCCATCTTTTATGAGTGAATAGAGTTGTACTTGAGTATTCTTTTGTAGCATCATATCCTGTTCAATTTTCACTACAGCATATTTGTCATCCTTAAAGCAAAAAATAATTTTGCAAGTCTGACACTGCAACAATGAAAGTACAGCATGCTCATAAGCCAGATATTTTCTAGCTAAGAAGATATTTGCTAGCATCTGTTTTACATGATTTAGTGACTACCTTCTGCACAGACATAGCGCACCATTTGTAGTATATGCTCTTTGCTCAGTATATTTAATAAACAGATTGCCTTCTGTTCATTTGATAATGCAAATTTACTTGTCTCAAAAAAATGAATTTGTATACCCCAAGAAAATATAACCTTCTAGAATTTGACTTAGTTTATAAAACGGCATTTTTTTGACAGTACCATGCAATTAAAGGGCACATCACTGAGTGTACATGGGTACCCAAAACATGAAAATTCCACTGTTAATTGGCCTGTTTTCCAGTGTACCTCTCCAAGACACTCTGCTTACCATGTTTTTCTGAAAACTTCTTTTTAGGATCCCATAGATTTTTATTACTTGCAGACTAAACGTGTGGCTGTGCTTTAGTTAACTTGAAGCCTGCGAAGAAAAATTAGAGACTCTACTGTATTGTAGCTTGGAGGCAGTAAAGTTATTTGCTATGGAGATATAATATGTGCTTGTGTTCATGTCACAGAATCTGTATAAATATCAAGCTTGTACTCTCCTGTATATTGACAATTTTCTGGCTCTGCAGGTTAGTCCGTCACTCACTAAGTTCTGGGTATCATCTTTCCTGCACTTCCTATGGTTTCCCTTTACTTTGTCTCCTTTTGTCTTTCTGATTTGCAACAGAAAACAACAAATGAACATAAGCTATTATATGACAGAATGTTGTCTTGGTTTTGTTGATAGTTGTTGTAGTTTCACCATAACTCATTCTAATTGTCCTTCATGCAATTAAAATAAAATTTATTTTAAAAGAGAGAGAGTCTCAATACTTTCTAGGAAGTGATGATCCTTTAATACCAGTATGTACTGATTTAATATAGTAACAACACCCAGCAATTGAATTTCAGACACTATGTGTATTCAAATAAAATGAATAAAAATAAACACCAGCTTTTTCTCCTAAGTCACAGAATTGAAAACAACCATTCCCTGAAGCACTGCTACTGAAGCTCTCTACTACTGGACCATTTGCTGAAGCTCCTCATTCTCTGAGCTCTCCTACTCTGGATGACAGTTTTTCTTTAGTAAAACTCTACATTAAAAGGCAAATAAAGTGAGCTTTAATTCAGCTGCTTTTCCTTGATTCTGAGGAATTATAATGTCTCTGCTGAGAAACCAAGTGAGATTAAATTTCACACAATTGTATTGATAATCATTCTTCAATGGCCTTCTTTATCTCAATTAGATTTCAAAGGTGCAACAACAAGAAAGTGATGGTTCTGGACATTCTAAATAGGATGTATTTTACTGTGCAGATTTTAAAAGTTGATGGAACATTAGGGTTAGTTTATTTGAAATACAGAGTTCTGAATTTCTTTTTTTAGAGAGTTTATTTTTACCACACCAGTCATTCAAATACATCTCATTCACCTGCTGATGGTACCTAAGGCAACACAATTTAACTGAGATCATAACTTTCCCTCTGAGCATGTCCAAATTCTGAGGCACATAAATACTCCAAAGACAAAAATAACTGAACACGTTTAAACATTCAGTTTCTATGGATACAAATAAAAGTAAAATGTCTAATGTGAGTTCTTATTCAGCCTAATGCCTTATAGATTCGAAGCACTTCATTAAGCCTTAGAGACAGATATTATTCCATAAATAAATACATAAAATAATAAAAAAGAACCATCCAAAATCCCACATCCTCTGTTTCTGATATGCAGTTGTGTATTCTAGTTGTGCAAGGATTACCACTGGCAGACAGTTCCTGCTTTCCCATTCCCACCCCACATTACAGCCTTATTGATAGACTTGAGATATAGTTTGTGTCATTTTCAAAAGAAAAATTTTTCTGTTGAAACATGAGAAAACTCAAAGCTCAGGACTTTGAGGCTTCTGGCCTTCACTCCAGATGTTTAGAGAATAATAGCTAGAGAGTTAACTGCTACAGATGCCTGATGCTGCTAGGTCAAAGTAATGAATGTTACATGGCTGACCTTTTAAGCCAAGATCAGCAAAAAAAGACCTGAAAAGCACAGTAGCATGATTAGAGATGTAGAAGTACTCGTGAGATTTCTCTCAGGCAGTTAGACACAGAGTGTAGTTTTTCAAAGTGTATTTTAAATGGCACTCTATTCAGTCTTAAAGATCATATTCAAAGAGGTGTTGTTCACAATTATCATAATCTTTAATGCTGTTTTCTGAATCCTGTGCTTCTGCAAGCCTTATTAATTAGCTTAATGTCTGAGTAAGCTCTTTCTTCTCACAAACTGCAGGTAAAATACAACATGAGATTGTCAGCACTGATGGTTTCTGTAAAGCTTTTTGCTAAAGCACAGGCTTCAATGATTATTCCTCAGCCAAATTCCATGCAATAGCCATGAAAGTCATCATTAGCACAGCACTGGGCTTCAACTCAGTTCCTGGTAGGGCTTTATTAGCTCCATACTGTATCACATTAAATATGGCTGCAAGGTTTTTTGGTCTGAATCTTGCTCACAAATGACCAGCTCAGAGCCTGAGCAGAATGACTAAAAATATAGACATCTAGAAGAGCCATAAATTACAGTAGAGGGGCCAGCTTTGACTACCTTAAGTTGACCTAACTCACTTGTTTTTTATACTGTTAAACCTGTTTATCCACCAAAGTATCTGCCAAATGTTTTGTGTTAGTAAAGACCATGTATCTACTTTGCTAAAATTTATTAGGCACTGTCTTTGTGCCTGAAAAGGAAAAAACCAGCTGCATAAAGCTGGGTTCAATGGATAGAAGTTCCATTGCCTGCTGAACCAACTAATTCCAGTGCAGACACAGGCAGGAACAGCTTCACAATTGTTCCCAAGTGGAGGCTAACGGCAGTGAGATCCCTCACACCTGCCTTGGGCAGCTGCAAGGTCTGTGCCTGGTCACTCCCTGCTCCTGTGGCTTGGAGCCAACATGAGCTGCTCCCCCCAAGTCCTCTTTCAGTTTTCCCGTGCTTGCTATCAACACCGTGTTCTTTTCAGCCTCCTTTACTGGCAATAATTGTCCCTAACAACACTTCAGACACTGGATTCTCACTTGTCGGTGCCTGCTTTTTTGCAGTTGAGGGTTTGTTATGATGCAGACCCACCCAAGGAAATTCTATACATACCACCCCTTTCTTTATGTCTATAGATGCCTACCCATGGCACTGTGTTATGGAGATTTACAACTCCAGTAAACATTAATTTAGGGATCTCTCATCTCCATTTTCCACAGTATCATTAGTATTAGTTGTCTAAAACTGCCATTTCACTACATATTCTCACAGTCTTATTAATATATGCTTTATTTGTTCTTCTGGCATAGAATTTTAAGAAGATCTGACTTGTGCAATCAGGTTGTTGATTGGTCTGGCAGTTTGCAGATTCCGCACCAATTAACTGAACTCAAGGGCTGATTTTAAAACGGAATAAGAATTACTAGAGACAACTTGTGAAAATCAGAAAATGAGTAGAGAAATGCACAATAGTGACTCCACTAAGGCAGAAGCCAAGTGCCCGAATGGCACATGGGTATTAGGTGGGCAGTGCTCACACAGTTGAAGGGTAGCAACAACATTACTACTGTATGGGCTGTTACATGGGACAGTAGAGGAACACTGGGAAGGGAGGGATGAAAAGTCAGACAATGAACACAATTCATGGGACATTAGACTTCAATATTTCCATTTGCCTAAATAGGAACTTATTTTGTGCATGTTATCATGCTCATCAGTTATCCTGATTAATTAAGACTTGACTGTATACTTAATACCTTATCAATTCTTATGAAGAGTAGTTGATGGAAAAATCATTTTACTTATCATTAACTAAGACCCCAAAAATTTATGTTACTTGGCTAGAATTCTACCAAAATACTTCCAAGTACTTTAGAACCCTGAACTTACCTTCCATGCTTATTTGGCTCAACAGGAGTAAGACTCAACTGCCTAAATGAATCCTAGCAAACGCTGTTGATAGCCAATGTGGAGATAAAGTGCTATTGGGGAATAGGCTGCTATTCATCTAATCTTAAAACAGACATCTTCAATAGGTCTGATGAACCATATCATTAAAATATTTGCTTCTCTCCATTTACTGTAGAGTCTGGGGTAA